TTTATATTTAAATCTAATAAAGTTTATTTCGTGTTTCATCTGTTTACATATTCAAGATATCTCCATTTCTCTGAATATTCCTCAGTATACTTGAGTCTTCGGGGGATACAATCATGACCTCTGGGCGCCATTGGCTTCATTTTATAGACCATCAGACAGGCCCGAGTTAACTTTAACTCGCCTGCGGATATTTTGAATAATCATATGGTACAAATTTAATACCACTTTGGATTATTACATGCTTGAATCAATTAATTGCTAGTTTGGGTGAGAAAACGCGCTTTTCGAGAGGTAGCGACACAAAAAAGGCCAAATTTCCTCGCAAACACATAAGCCTCGATGTGAGAGCTGAATTTTCCGTATACTGAACACATCAGAATTATTTTGAAGGAAATGGTCCTCAGGCAGGTAATAATTTGCTTTCACTCAGTCATAATCACCAAACTCGTAAGCATATATAATACAGATGATTTCAAAAAGTAAATACATTACTCATTAGTAACGATGTAATATCATTATTATTGTTACTATCATAATTAGCATTAATATTATCGTCATTGTTATTTAGCGTCATTCGTCACCAAAATCTTTATCAGTATTAGTATTATTATAACAATAATGGTTATTATCGTCAGCATCATAATCATTATCATTATTAAACACGAAATTGTATGAATCAAAGTGAAATGTCCGCGAAGATGAGAGAACAAAGTGACCGGACAATCATAATCATTAATGTCATTATAATATTCTTATCATTATCATTGTAATTATCATTATTATTACTATTCCTATTGTTATTATTATTATTGTTATTGCCACTATTATTATTACCATTTTCATTATCATTTTCGTTTTTTAACTTGAAATTATTATTATCGTTATTATTATTATTATTATTATTACTGTTATAACCTATATTATCATTATTTCCATTATCATTCTGTATCTTTATAAGCTGATGTACTCAGATGTATTTGCATTAATATTTGAAAGTGGAATCACTCACGTACATATTTGCTCTCTTTCTCTCCCTTTCCTCCCCCTCTTCCCCTCTCTCTCATTATCTATCTCTCTCCCTCTCCCCCTCTTCTCTCCCTCTCTCTCTCTCACACACACACACGTATACACATACACGCACACACACACACACATATACATCTCTCTTACTCTCTCTCTCTCTTTCTCTCCCTCTCCCTCCTCTCTCTCTTTATCTATCTCTCTCCCTCTCCCCCCTCTTCTCTCTCTCTCTCTCTTTTTCTCTCTCGCCCTCCCCCTCTCCTCTAACGCCCCCCCCACCCCGTCCTCTCTCTCTCTCTCTAGTTCACGCAAAGGTGTGGTTTGTATTAATAACCTTATTTTTTACCTGATAATCCCTCTATTTACTTATTTGGGTTATAGTTATCGGAATTTAATAACAAACATAACATTTATACTAAACCGCCGATGAATTACATTTATTTAAGCTCGTATGCAAAGAAAACCATATTTCCATAGTTTTAAATTTAGATTATCATCCAACATGAAATGTTATTATTCAAGGTACATATATAATTTTTTGTTCTTGATTTTTTTTTAACAATATCTTTAAGGTAGAAGGTGTACACACTCGGGCACACACAGGCGTGCGGTTCGTGGTTATTGTAAAGAACATACTTTTAGACCAGTATTCAAATATCTTGTCCTTGTCCTTGTCCTTTCCTATAACGTATTAACTTGGCCGATGTATTTTGCCAAGTTAATGACTTCAACAATCTATTACAGAGACAAAAATATTCCTTTCTGAAGCTTCAAAGGACACATAATTAAGAATTTTGGAATTGAAGATTCTATTTGATCTAACCCCATCCCACATTCCCTAAAAAGCCCATAGTCATTCGTTCTAGAATATGCCAGAGAAAGAACTGCACAGATCTTCAGGAATTTCCCGAACGGCGATTCGAACGAAACAGGGAACCGTGAGCCAGGTAGTTTCACTGTAGTTTCACTCCCACAAGTCCTTTTGAACCGGGCCTAGGTGGAGGTCATGAGCGATACCTCAGCCCAGGTCGTGTCATCCTTCTCTCCGACCATGACCTACCTTCTCCGTGACAGCATACTAGGTCCCACTCTTCCGGTTTCCAGTGACCCGTAAGCCTTCTCCCCCAATAAAGACATGAATGAAGGTTACTGAGTTCTACTGATCACCTTCCAGTCATTACAGAAATCCTTGAGAGTTCAGGAGAGGGAAGGAGGAGGGTGAGGAAGTTAGAAAAAAGGCAGAGAGAAAAAGAGGGAGAGGGGAGGAGAGGAGAGGAGGGAGGCGGAGGGGAGGGGAGAGGGAGAGGAGCAGGGAGGGAGGGAGGGGAGGGGGAGGGGAGCGAGGGGGAGGGAGAGAGGGAGAGGGAGAGGGAGAGGGGAGAGGGAGAGAGAGGGAGGGGAAAGGGAGAGGAGAGGAGAGGGAGAGGAGATGAGATGAGGAGAGGGAGAGGAGAGGGAGAGGGAGAGGGAGAGGGAGGAGAGGAGAGAGGAATAGATAGGAGAGATAGAGACTGAGAGAGGAGAAGGGGAGAGTTGGAGAGAGAGAGAGCAGAGGAGAGAGAGAGAGAAGGAGAGAGAAGAAGAGCCGAGAGAGAGAGAGGACGAGAGAGAGGAGAGAGAGGAGAGAGAGAGAGACGAGAGCGGAGAGAGCAGAAAGAGAGAGAAGGAGAGAGAGAGAGAGAGAGAGAGAGAGAGAGAGAGAGAGAGAGAGACAATGAGATGGAGATAAAATAGATATATATAGAAAGACAGACAGACAGACAGAAATAAAGGAGAGAGAGGCAGACAAACCCCAATAAGAGAGAACCGTAAAAACAATTTTTAATCAAACTGCCTAATCCAATAGTGCAATCCAGTGGCCTCTGTACCATTCGTGAATCCCAAACCCCAAGAGTGATTTATAAAAAAGACACTTTACCATTTTCATTTTTATTTGTTTGTGTAAAGATTTTTTTTTCTTTTTTTTACAATTTAAGTAAATATGTTGAAGAATCGATTTTCAGAAATAGAAGAGTTTAAAACATGATTAGATTTGTTTTCGTTGTCATTCGTATCGTTATTTTTCAAGTAGGAATAAAAGGGTTGAAATTGGACCTAAACTACCCTGACATGAGCAATGAATGTCACTTATTTTGCCGAGTGTAAAGAGGATCTTTTTTAAATTTTTATATTTATAGGGGGCGGGGCAAAGACTGTGATGTCTTTATTCTCTTAACGATTGTTTTTTTTCTTGTATTTTTTTTCTTGTAATTTATTTTATTCGTTGGGCTGTTGCTTTCCATTTTTCTTTCTTTTTTTCCGTTCTTGAAAAATCATACGTGTGTTACCCCTCAGGCTTTCGGGATATTTATTCAAGTGGATATTTTTGCTGCAGAATACTTTAGTTAATTGCAATTTGATTTAATGTTTAGGGCGAGGTACTAATCAAGAATTTCATAGTGTGTATATTATGTATTTCTAGTAGCAAGGCAAAATCAGAGTTCTGTATATTATCATTGATGAATACAATTCTCAAAGTCACAGTCAGTGCAGACGCTCCTCTCTCTCTCTCTCTTTCTCTTTCGTTTTCTCTCTCTCCCTCTATCTTTCTCTTTTCTCTCTCTCTTTCTTTCTATGTCTCTCTTTCTTCTCTTGCTCTTTCTCCTTCCTCCCCCCTCTCTCTCTGTTTATCTCTCTCCCCCCCCTCTCCTTCCTCTCTCTCTCTCTCTCTCTCTCTCTCTCTCTCTCTCTCTCTCTCTCTCTCTCTCTCTCTCTCTCTCTCTCTCTCTCTCTCTCTCTCTCTCTCTCTCTCTCACCATGACCTAATCTAACAACGGTTCAAAGTTGCTCTTTAGTACCTCTTAATACCAAACTTTATTACATCATTATCACATCTAGAATTCTTTCAAGTAGATTTGATAACGTAATGCTCTCAGCTTCGTCTTCCTTTTCCTCTTTCTTCGCAAATGACAAAAAAGGACCAATAGATAATTCAAGACTCACGTAAAAAATTACTCTCGAATCCACTAATTGTATTTATAGAGTACAGGAGTGCGTTATCAGCCCCCCATTTAAAAAGAATGTTAAATATTTTGAGCAAAATGATAGCACAACAAGTTAGGTTCATGTGTGTAAATAAGGACTGTAATATATGGGTATTATTTCGAGAATTATTATTATTTCGAGAGTCCTTTGTCAGGTCGACTCTGCCAAAATATCCCTTTTTTGTGGAAGCGAGCTGGAATTTTTTCGTTTTTTATTTATTTTCTTGAAGCTAACGTATTTCAATATTTTTTGTTTGATGGAAGTACGATGCCAACGTGTGTGTGTGTGTGTGAAAGCGGCTATAGCATTCAGATAACGTGTTAAATCTTGCTTCAGTTTTGTTTATATCTGTCTGATTTTTAAGCGATATTGTTTTTTAAGGACTGTTATTTCATATCTTTGTAAGTGTTATTACTCCTTATTTCTATTCTGGGTCATTATCTATTTCACATTTATTTTCCTGTTGCTTTTATTCATTCATTTATTCAGCTCTAATCTTTATTCATACCTTTTCAGAGTAAGATCCCTTAGATTTATTTTGGCGCGCAATTTCAAACAAGACATCTTGCGGCAGGTTTTTCGAAACCGTTCTGACAAATGATCTTAACCAAGATTTCTCCCTGCCTTAGACTTGCTTCTCTGGACATGTAGATGATAAATCTTGCTTCGAAATGATAAATCTTGGCAAGCGTCATTCTCAACGGCGCCCCCAACACCAAGCGAGAAATCTTGGGAAGAAGTTGCGCGCCAAAATGGGATTTTGATCGTCTTTTTTTTCCAAGCTGAGGCCATTTTCAAATCCATGAGTCAGGGTGTGTGGAAGGAAATAAAAACGCTTGAATGATACGTGACTCTCTCTCCAAAAAGGGTGATGGAGGAAAAAGTCATCGTAAATACATATTTTTTTTTTTTTTTTTTCAAGCATGCAAATGGTCAATGAAGGGAAAAAAATAATGAATCTGGTATTTTCTTTATTTTTCTTTACTCCAATTGAGCATTTTATGAACATTTTCACTATCTTTCTTAAAACACTATGAAGCTCACGCCAAGGCTAGTAGTAGTATTCTAATAATAGTCTTATCATTAATTTGTATTTAGATAACAGCACAGGAGGGACAGCTCTGTCTTAACTCGAACCAGATGTCAATAGTAAACGAGAATGATCAAGATAACACTACGAGAATACAAATCTACTTAGAAGATGGTCAACGAGAGAGGAACACTGTTCAGATTTAAAAAGTACAACACCATTAAAGAGATTCTTCTTTTTTATAATCTTAAATCTTTAAAACATCAACAACAGATTTCAATAATGAGTTTTTTTTTTGTCTCACGTGTTAGCGAGAATGGCCAGCAGGAAGGTGCTTATGAATGGCAGAATTTTATTTATTATTTTTTTCCCGTACTTTGGCAGCTCCGGGAACTTAGTGATGAGTCTAATGGTGCCAGTGACTATGCCTACTTTCCACGGAAGTTCGCTGATTTTCTCTACAAATTTTGCTAGGCAGCCTCATGTCAGCACCAGTTGTGGTCTGGCTAACACGTGGGCAGGCTGGACCGCACGAGGCTGAATCACAATACAAGTAAAAAACTTGAAAAGGATATATATATTTATTGAAACGATACATAGTGATGGGTTCGGACTGATACTTTTCTTCTAGACTGAACATGCCTTCAAAAGTGAGGATATTATTAGCAAAAACTGGTTCAGAACTGTGAACACTAAGATATTATTATTACAAACGAGTATTGTTTGATTACTGATGTTAACTGACCAGCTGGAAGCTGTCAAAGATGATATCTAAAAACTTCTTTGATTGGCTTTTAATTGCGTTATCATAGTGACAGTATTCTTGATTGGTTTCCGGACACCAAAAGATGTTTACACTGCATGGTGTATCCTAACACAAGTGATCCTGCAGATAATGACAGAGAAGGAAAAATAGGACAAGCTCAATAAATCACAGACACATAAACAGTCTCGCAGCAGAATCTGCAGAAGTAATGTGGTTATGGCAGGTGAACTCTCGAAAAGAATAATGGAAATTCTATAATCTTACCGGAGCCTGGGTTACCTCATCAGAGCATAGGAACTTCGCCACAACGTAAGGTAACTTCGTTAGAGTCTAAGGAGCTTCACCAGTACTTACGTAGCTTCCCACAACCCCGGTTGCTGCACTGAAGCCTGGGAAGCTACTGGTAAAACCCGCTTGTGCTTCATCACAGATTGCTTCCAGAGAACCAGTGTGTTTTAGACAAAGACTCTTCGATTTCATCAGAACCTCGAGGGACATATAACTTCCTGCACATGTTTGTGGCTTCTGCAGAAACTTCGCTGAGCTTTAATAAATACGCCGGTTCCTGGGTTGCTTCCCTTAGGCATACTCAACTTCCCCGAAGCTAACTTTTCCGTTACCAGCGAAGCTCCGACGCAGCTCGGGTAGTCCGCCATAGTCTGGGAAATCCTCGCACAAACCAAGGTAGCTTCATTAAATACAAGTGACCTTGGGAAACCACGCCAAAGCTTGGGTAGTTTCGCTAAAGCCTGAATAGTCTCACCAAAGCCTGCATTGTTTCATCAGAGCCTAGATAGCTCTGCGAGGTGTTGGGCGAGCGCGTGAGAGGCGTCAGAAGGTGATGTCATGCAGATTGCCCGACTACCTTGTTCCTCGTATCGATCAATCCGTCTAGGAGATCTAGAAGACTAAGAGCGTTATTGCGGTGAGGAGGAAAAGACATTCCCGGTAAGACTAGTCTCTCTGGGGTGCTCCCCGCGGCGTCCAGCAGCGAAGGGCATGATTGTCTCGAACATTCTGCCAGAGATAGACGGGCCGGCGCGCCTCGGCTGCGGCCCCCGCCCCGGGAGCCTCCCGCCGCAAGCGACCATCCACTGCTGGGAGCCACCCGCCGCGGAGAGCAATCCGCAGGTGCATGCAACACCCGTAGTTCCGAGTCGCCCTTTGCTGAGAACGGTGCGCAGGAGCGCGCGGACGCCCCGTCGCTGGGATCCGCGCGCAGCTGGCAGCGGTTCGAAGCCAGATCATCCCTGCAACTAGGTGCAGCTACGTGTGAAGTACTCATCAAGTCCTATTGCCATTGCATACTGACGCATGCTCATGTCTCCCTACTAGCGGGAACTCTAACTCTGAATGACTATCTCTTGGCACTAGACCGCAGGACGGTGCCACCTGCCGCTCCTGCAAGGAGGACGGCAGATGGAGAGCCTCTCCGGGCAGCCGCAGGAGCTGAAGCCTCCCCGTCGCTGGGAGGCATCGGAAGCTGGAGGTGCCGGGGAGAGGGCCGTCCTGGGCGAGGCAGAACGCGGTTTCATCGGCCGTGGTGGAGGCTCTCGATCGCGCAGGCGGTGACTTCCTGCTCATCCTGCTTCTTTGAAGTTATACATTCCTATCACCTCTACTGCGATGGTTCTCTTTATACGTGAATAAATTCATGGTT